ATCATGTGGTGTGTTAGTGGTTCAATTGTCTAGAAATACAATAAATTGTAAAAAAAAAGAGATTTTTTAGGAAAATATGGACACATATTTAATATTACATATTTGTCATATTGAAAATAAATGTGATAAATTCAATTTATTTTTATTAATGATGGAAATGGAATATAAGAAACAAGAAAAAATAGAATTAATTTCTAACTTGTGATCCCACTAATTGGGTTAGATGGTTTAATGATTTAATTAGCTAGGCCACCATGTAGTTGATTATTAAGCCAATGCTATTTTTCAAGCAAGCAATTTGCTGGTAAAAAGACCCAAAATCCTGGTTAGGTAATACGTCAACCAATTTGATCAATCAATTTAACCATAGGACAAAAACATTGATAGAAAACCAATGTTATGAAAGTTGATTGGAACCACATTTCCCTTTTAGTCAAACAAACAATGTGTGAAAAATGAGAATTATTATTAATGGTGGAAATGGATAAAATATAAAAAGAAAAGAACAAAAGAAAATTAATGCCTTATCCATAGCATGTTGATCTTGTCAGATAGGTCAACACTCCAATCCGTAAGGTCATTTGGTTGTTGATCAAATCAAAGATTTTTTTTATTTTCTAATAAGGTGGTTTGAGTTGAAAGATAATCAAGAATATGTTTGGATGATAGGTCAATCTATTTGATAGTCTCTTTCAACCAAAAGTAGAAAACATTGATATTAATAAGCATGTTTTCAAAACTAGATTGGACTAGATGATCAGATCGAAAAAACCAGAATCGGTTAGGTGACCGGTTCCATTTTTCTCCAAAATCAAAATTTTGCCAAAAAACGTTGATTTGGTTAGCAAACCACTGACCTGGGTGGTTGGGCCATTCGAACCGTTTAATGATTTTGACCATTTTTTTATTTTTTTTATCAAAACGGGCCATCCGTTCGGTTTGTTAATAAGTTCACAAGGTTTTTTAAAAACCTTGTTAATAAGTTCACAAAACTAGGTCTTTAAGTTGAAAGATAATAAATCTAATAGTACACTATACTTTAATTACTTATTTTTGTTACATGTGATTGGTCAGTGTAAAGGGGGAAAGATTCCCAATTCATGTTGGGGGATGGTGTTTATTTTGGGGGGGGGGGGGCTTAAATACATTTAGGGAATTAATATCAATGTTTTCTACTTTTGGTTGAAAACCATGCTTATTAATATCAATGTTTTCTACGTTTGGTTCCCCAAAATGATGGTTTTCAAAACACCATTAATAATGGAAAATTGGAAATAAAATACAACATTTAAAACCAACCTTGTCAGGTTATTATTCAAATCACTTGAGTCAAATAGGCCAATCTATGATGTCATTGTTAATAATAATTTGTTAAATAGAAAAATACAAATAATTACAAAAAAATGGAAAAATGCAAAAAAATGGCACAACTCTTGCATTATATTTGTCATATTACAAGGTTCTCTTGAAGGTAGGCGACTCGCAAACAGTAGAGCCACCCCCTCAAGATGAGCCCCACATGGCTCTAGTAGGAGTAGATGGCCAGTAGTTCTAGGAGCAGGTGTAGCACATGTGCAGCATTTGACCCACAAATGTAGGCCTGGGAGGGTCACTCCCTCGCGATGGCATAGATGTAGCCGCACATGCTTCAAGTCCATCCGCATCACAACACAATTGATCAGCTTGCATGGTGAGTGTAATTCCGACCTATACATGTCTATTTGAAATCAAATGATAGAAGTTGCATTGAACAGAAAAGCAATTACAGAATGACCATTTGCTTCGATGACCTAGTCAAGCCGAACTCTATGGGGAAGCTAAACTGCTTTCAGCTTAAGGCCCCCTCAGGCCAACCTTGAAACATGTTAGCAATAGGTAGACCGATCTAAGTAGGTCGCCCCCCCCCCCCATCTATCTAGCTCAATAGCATTTTGACACTGCCACCGCCACACTTGAATCGGTCTCAAAGGACGTCGGTATCTCATTGCTGACCTGATAAAAAAGAGAAATGGAGAAGAAGGGGAGGCTTTAGAATTTCCATTCAAGAGGATTTCATAAAACCAATGAAATAGAGAACATGTTGCAATAAATTCAAGTTTTACCGAGCTCGTAGGATTTCAAGTGCACGCCTTTGTGCCAATAAATAGCCCGATAGGTCGGCCAACCCAAAGCGGACTAACTCGACCAACGTTAAGAGCAGGTCACCTCGGGCCTCATCTTCAAAAAAGCTACACCCTTCGTCGAACTGGCCTCGGCTCGAGTGTGGGGGACAACTGATGAGGGGTGATTTGGCCCTCTACTAACCTAGCGACACGTGGCATCTATCTTCGCCACTTGACACCTCAACGCCATGAGGATAGATGCGTATCTCACCAAGTCAAGGAGACATACCCTGGAATTAGTCTAGGGCACCTCATACACAACTCGGGCACCTCGGTAGGGCGGCTAGTTGCACCTCGTCTAGGGCGGCTAGCAACACCTCGTCTAGGGCTGACCTGTGGTACCTCGTCGTTACCGCTCCAAGGGACCTCAATGTGAGGAGCGACCTCTCTCGAGGACTTGCTGACCTGATTGAGGTCTAGGTGGTGACCTAGGATACGTGCTCGTCGACTTCCACCATGGGTGTCCCACCATTCCCGGGTCCTCTAGAGGTCAACTCCCATACTGAATGTTCTGGAGGAAGGTACAAAACCCTATAGTCTGCATGCGAAACTACCACTGAAGACTTCGGACCGATCAGCCACATCTTCTCGGAGATCTCGGACTTGGTGCGTGGAGCTCACGTCAAACAATACCTATATAAAGGTCTCATTTCCAACTTCAAGAGGATATGCAATTTAGCTCTCGCAACTCTCTACCTCTTTCTCTCTTTAGCTCTCTCCAAAATCTCCACTTCGCTGACTTATGCATCGGAGTTCCCACCCCGGGTAAAACAACCCGGGTATTCTGATACTATCTTTTTGCGGATTGACCCGACAAACTCGCCAGTTTGACATCCGAGCTGCCTTCCAGTAGAGAGCTGTCAGATCACGCATCATCAATGGTCTATAGCTTCTTCCTCTTCCCCACAAATTGAGTACAAACCATCAATGGGAGATCCTTTAGTTAACAACAAGGCCTTTGTGGGCAAATGACCATTCAGCATAAGAAACAAAAAGGTTTTAACCTTTGAAGGGATCAAGAGACCCCAAATTTTGCTAAGCATCGGGTTTGGAATTGGACTCTTAAGCCCCTTGAAGTGAAGCTGGCTTTTGTGTAGGCAGATCTAACCGTAAACTTTTCTCTAGGATCTAGACTCCAGATCATCTTGTCAGCCTTAGGCTTGTAGGAGAAGTGTTTTGATACTTAGCCATACCTCCAGAAGAACCAAATCCCAAATTCTGGTTTCTCTCCATACCATTCTCTCAAAGTTAATCATCTCAGAAACTTTAAGATTAAAACCGGGGTTACCATCCTGGTTTACAATACCATTCTTCAGCTAATACCTCTTTTGAGAAGGTGCCTAGCTTCAAGAATACCCCCCACACCCAAGAAATGCCTTTAGAGATTTTGACGTCCCAGAAACTATCTTTTTTTAGATACTTGTTAGTAACCACCCAAACCCAAGATTGTTATTTTCATTAAGAATCTTTCACCCAAGTTTGGTTAGATTTGCCTCATTAACCCAATTAAGGTTTTTTAATCCAAGACCACCCCATCTCTTAGGAGTTCACACTCTTTCCCAACTCATCAAATAAATGGGCTTCTTGCCATTGTTATTACTCCAAAGAAAATTTCTCTACATCCTATTTATATCATTTATAGTATTGCTTAGGATTTTGAAAGCCCTCATGATAAATTAGGGCATCATACTCGTGGTACCATTAGTCATAGTAATTCGACGAGCCAATGATAAGGTGTTTTTTTCCCAATCCGTTAGTCTCTGATTTATTTTATCCTTTAGGTCTTCAAATGTTTCACATCATTTTTGCCATTATTTTCTGAAGTTTTTGAGGGATATTTTTCGAAAACCTAAGAGATGATTTTGAAATTTTTGGGTTTGGTTTTCTCCCCAGTTGTTGGGTTTTTCCTCAGGTTGGGAACAAGGCTGGAAAAAAATTACCTAATTTTAAAGTGGGTTATACTAGGTTAAAGCCTTAAAAGCCTAATGCTATGTTTGTATTTGAAGTTTCCATAGGGAGTTACTGAATTATTAGTTAACTATCTAATAAGCATATCTAAACTAGATTTTACTCAAATCTTCCTTTGCATTGAGTATGCTACTTTATAGCTCAACGTAGATCCCAACCCAAGCGTTTAAGTACTTGGAGCTGGTTTCAGTTTATTTCCAACCCAAATAAAAGTATAAGACATAACTAATATATCCTAGAAATTCCTAGATATACTTAACAGACTATGGAGTAGCTAGAGTTATTCACTTTTCATTTTATCAATTGTGATATTCTATCATAGATAAATAATACAGGAGTTTATCAATATATATAGGACAAGCAAATAGAGTAGTGCCATCCATGGGGCTCAGTGCAAATACAAATATGTTCAGTACAAAACCTTAAACCTTGTATATGTTATTTCTAAACCTTGAATTTACACTCTGCATATTTGTATTTGCACTCTTTCGAAACTGAGCCTATGGAAGGAGTACAAATACAAATATATAGAGTATAAAACCTAATATTTTGTATTATTTTATGTATATTTGGACTGCACATATTTGTATTTGTACTCCTTCCAAACTGAGCTTTATTTTCAATCTTGCATAAACTCCTCAGGAGAAAGGTAGCGATAACTAAGTATTGTTTCTTTTGGTAGTGAACTAAAATGAAATACCAATGCCATTAGGAGGCAGGAAGCATACCAAAGCAGAGCAGTCCCAAAATGCAATCCCATGTCATTCCCTGATTGGGATTATACCTACTTTTCCAGCAAAGATTTTATGAGAAATAATGCTAGGCATGCTTCTACATATAAGTGGTTCAGACAGTGAAGTCATACTCACCTTCAAAGAAATAAGGAGATAAAAGAGCTAGATATCACCATAAAGAGCTTGTCTCGTCTACAAACACTTTTTGAACACTCCATTCAATCAGTGTTCATTAAATTAAGTGTCTCGTAAAAAGTCTGGCACCTGCCAAGATACAAAAAAGATATTGCAGAAATCTGCATAAAATCCTCAGAATCTGATGAACAAAATTCATGGAGAACTTCAAAGTGGCAATTTAGCAAAATGTGTGCCACATTTTAGATTGCCATTTGATTCTTCAGGTTATCTTCCAGGTACCCACTATGCATTACGCCACTACCTAGGCTTTTACTCTAGAATTAAACCAATTGATGATGTCCTTCATAATATCCTCACGTTCAGGTTCAAAAAGGAGATCATGTAAGAATCCTTCATACAATTTGATAGATTTGTCAGTTGAAGAGGCTTCCTCATAAAGTTGCTGAGAAGCTTCAGGGTCAGTAACAGTATCAGCAGTGCCGTGCAGAACTAGAAAGGGGGCACTTAGTTTGCACAGGTTCTGATGCAAGTAGGATGAGATACGAAGAATCTCTGCCCCAGTTCTAATCCTGATGGAACCAGTGTACACTAGGGGATCAGAATACTTAGCCACTAGTGCCTCTGGATCACGAGAAACCGGCATTCCTTTCTTGTTTGCAGCACTGAATTGGTATCTTGGTAACAGAAAGGCGAATATCGGAGCAAGCACCTGCCATAGATGACATAAATGGATCAAAATTGCTATTGAAGACAAACTAATCAGTGAATTGGCAATGAAGTAGATAGCGGCATTTCTTACACCAAAAATTGGATGTGATGGCTGAACTCTAACTGCAGGGGAAGTCAACACCACACCTTCAATGAGGGCTTCAGTCTTTGGGTCTAGTACTGCCTTCAATTATTGTCCATGAAAAAAAAGACAAGAAATAAACTAATAAATGCTAGGTTTATAGGTCAGATGAAACTTTGGTATTTGTTGGTATAGAAGCCAAAATAGTGGAGAATATCAAATAGAATAGCCAGGAAAAAAAAACACACCTTTAAAACAATTGATGCACCTGTTGAGTGTCCAAAGCAAAAGCATGGAAGCCCTGGATTTTCAGCTAAAACCTTCGCAAGAAATGCTTTCTGCAAATGTTGAAATTCATATGTAGATTGTTGAACAAAAAAAAATTCTAGAAAATAGAGTTCAAATCAAAGATCGTACCATATCACTGACAGCAGAGTCTAATGAATGAACATATCCATGCAGCCCATCACTACCGCCATGTCCTGAAGGTAAAAGAGAAAAAAGAAAAAAAAATCAAATGATCAAAATATCAACAAATAAAACGACATGGTGTCATATGCATTTACAATCTATCAAAATTAAGAAGGTTCTTAATGAAATAACTGAAGAAAGATTTTTAAAACATATCTTCATTTTAAACTGAATTATTAAAAACTCAAGTATCAAAGGTTTTCCATCTCGTTTCAACAACACTGGGATTCAGGTTCCAACAGTAAGATGCTGAAACGAACTTTCACAAATATATAACTTCTAATAGTTTTCTTGTCCCTGCTTAGTATTTCTTAACAAAACCTTGAAAACAGTCATCTTAGTTTAAGAGAACATAACCTTATATGATTTATATATCAAGTTTCCCAAATAAAAAAAGTTGCATGTCATTGTTCATTACTTCCCTTGAAAAACTGCATTGAGTTTTATAATTTACACAATGAAATGGCTCAAAACAATCAAAGTTCAATAGTTTGAAAAATAAATTCTAAATCTTTTATAAAGATATTCACTTTCCTTAAATTTTCTGTAGTGATTTGTTCTGGTCCCCTTATGGAAAATCTTGACTAAATAAATCACAATCAAGTTAGTGGACGAGACACGCAGCAAGGACCCTACCCTAGTTGGGATGAACAGGCCTCTAAACAATAGATGGTTAACTGCAAAATTTAGAAGCATGACCCATCTACTATTCAAAGAACCCAAGTTAAACAGTTTGAAAAGTTTAAGTTCCATCAATCTAAATCTTTTACCAAAAGATTTCTCTATTTTTTCATTTTCCCTCAGTTATTTGGTTTCTGTTCTTGATCCTCAGAAGCACCAACCAAATAAATCACAACTATACTAGGAAATGAGACACAAGGCGAAACCACATTACAAATGGAATGGATAGACCAGTTACAGACAAATGGATTGCAGTGAAAAGTAGAAAAGTTATAACCAGAAGGTAGGGATTGAGAGATACGTGATAACATTGTGAGACATACCGATCCAATCCATTCCATAAACTTTATATCCATTAGCATTAAGCTTCCTTGCAAAAGCATTGTATCGGCCACTGTTCCACAAATTGCAAATGTAGGTAAAATGATACGTCAAGTTCTACAAATTTCTGTCACAAGACTTCGAGTTTTTTTATCAAAGAACATATTCATGTACCTGTGCTCATTGAGACCATGTAAAATAACAACCAATCCCCTGCAAAATATAGATTTTAACTATTAGTAGCTATTTATTGATGATTAGGGCCATGAAATTTCATATGTTCCTTGAGAAAGATTAGCAAACTAAAAAATAACAAATAAAAAGACAATAAAGGTTCAATCCCAAAGCATGAACTTTGCCTTAAGTTCTATTTAATTAAGAGAGGTTGTACTTTAGGAGCTCAAACTAGGACAAAGAAAAGGGAAATACAAGATTCATTGGCCATCAAACTAGCCTCAGGTACTAATCAACAACTGTAATCAATTCAAAGAACAAAAATAATATGCATGATTGAAAAGTCAATTAAGGTCGGGAATGGAATCTGGCTCTATGAGTGTATGGGTTCAAGTCTGAGAACGGCCAATTTGTGCAAAATAATTGGCAGAAGTTAGGTCCATATCCAGTCCGTCCACCTATCCCAAGACCCAGATAGCAGGGACAACACTGGATAATGGTAAATGGCATGAAGCACTACTTTTATCCAGTGAAAAAAAAAAATCCTTTTTCATTGTAAATTTGTAATCAACAGAATTCTGCACATACTCAAGTAAATGAGCCTGATGTCCTCTTGAGGATGAGCAAAACAGTGTTGCTTGGGAAATTTTGACATCTCCCTAACTAGATAATTCCCATATGGTTCCAACTAATGAGCTCATCCTCATTGATTGTATAATAACCCCCAGCAATAAATCAGGATTGGTCTCCTCTCTTTGATGATGTCATTTGCCAATGTTGTCTGATGATCCTAAACCAAACTCATGACTTAGGAACCATAAACCTATCTGTATGGTTTTAATGACATCTGAAAAACAAGCAAGTAAAAAGATGGTCGAAGTTGTCCTTACGCTAAATAGAAAGGTGGGTGGTAATATTGAAGGATCAAATGCACTTGTAACTGGTTTGAAGGCAGATTGCAGATGCTTTGGGGCTGATTTGACATGGTAAGTCTTCTATATTCAAGATATAGAAGACTGATGCCCCCATGAAACCAGCATCAAGCAATTTGAGCCCCCCGTCTTCTATATTCAAGATATAGAAGACTGATGCCCCCATGAAACCAGCATCAAGCAATTTGAGCCCCCCGTCCGTCTCCCAAACAAGAACGTGTTACCAACAACCGGGAAGGCAGGAACAGGATGGCTCGATTGTTGGCATTCCTGAGAAAATCATGTGCTGATTGAGAATAGTACCCAGAGTGAGAAATGAGATAATGGAGTAAGCACCATTGCTTTTCTTTGTAACAGCTGATTGAGAATGCTCGGAAGGATGCTTGCGTCCTTAATTGAAGGAGCGAAGATAAGGATAACTCCGGCGATTGAACCAGAAAGACGGAAAATTCCAAAACATGCAAAACAATACACAAAGCTAATAGACATTTACACAGAGCAGAGGTGGAGGAAGAGGAATATGCTTCGTATTACAATCTAGAGAAAGCAACCATGATAGGTTGCAGAAAAAAAAAATGAAAAAGAAAGGCATTATTTTATCCCATCTCCCCTTAAATCAGTTATTCATCTATTCATTCGAAGTGACGATCCAAACAAGAAAAATGAGAGAATCTGTTTGTTCCTAATAAACCACAGACCCAATAAATGTAAAACAGAGAATCAAGAACAGTTGCAGAGGCAGAGGGAACGAATGTGTATTAGTAACAGATACTACAGAAATCACCACGAACTCTAATGAAAAAGCTGCAGCATTCAAGGATTCATCAGAACTACAACCGTCAATCAAAACCAATGACCAAAAGAAATCTAACCAACTAGATAAAGCTTACTTGATCCTAATCGAAACTGGCGCCCATGATTGTGTAAACAGCGTATCACCTCTTGAGGTGACAAAGAACGAAACTTCCCTAACCGACTCATCGCCATCATCCTGCCTCGCCCTCTTGATGGCAAGCGCTCTCCTCGCTGCCACCTCCTGGTCCCCTGTCACCACCGAGTTACTCCTCCTGGGAACCATCGCCGCAGGAACTCGCAAGACTGGCGTCTTCCTGCTGATTTCCTGCTTTTCATCCTTGGACGGTTTCTCTACCGTTGCCGCTGGAGAAATGCTTCGTCTCCGTCCCCGGAAGGGCACTAGCAGGAACAGAACAAACGCATTAATCAGCATTAACAGGCTCTTCAACACCCGTAGTGATAGAAGAGCATTCACTCGTCCACTCGCGCCCGATGTCAGAATCAACGACATCGGCGATTCCTTTCCCTTCCCCGTCGAGTCCATTATCATTGATTTTCCCGCAACCAGAGATAACCTGAATTCAAGGTTCTTCTCTACAGATAGCTTTTTCGTCCTCTTTTTACCATGAAATCGATTACGGAGAACGGCAGAAAACTCGGTTTCACTTTTCGGTAACGTCGGTTTCAAACAGATCATAAAACACAGAACCGAACCACAGAGCAAATAGAATAACAAAAAATCAATAGAGAAGTAAAAAATAAAAGAAAATTCCTCTTCCTAGCTCTGTCCCTGAATTTAGAGGTGTCTGTAGGCTGGGGAGAAAAAACTTCCTCCAAATTTAGAGAACCCCCGAAAACAAATATTTTAAAAATGAAGTTAAAAGGGTATTGAATAAACAATGGAGTGATTCCAGAAGATTCAGTTGATTTCTTCTTTGCAATTTTATTGCCAGAACAGAAGTTGCAGGCTTTGAATGGCGGAGACAAGCTTACAGATTAAAACCCTAATTTAAGAAACCCAAAAAAAGATTAATTCAGGGTTTTTTCTTTTCTTTCTATCGGTCGAATTTGAAGAACGCACTCAAAATGAGTTGTTTCTTGCTCCTCTCTCTCTCTCTCTGTTGTTCTCTGTTGAGAGACTATAAAAAGCGAAGACGAGACGAGGAATCTCTGGCTTTCTTCATCCTCGAAATGATTTTAACTAGAGGGTCATGCTTATGACACGTGTCCCGTACAGAAGAAAATTTCACACGTGGCAGGTATGCGGCGATCTGCCGCCTTTGGTGGGGCTGGAAAAAGTCGTGGCGCTCTACGCTACGACTCCACTCTCCAGGCTTGAGGCTTCGCTTTCGTATTTCATTTTCGGTATCATAGGAATCATCTGTCACTTATTGATACCGTAAACGTCTCGTATAACCAATCAACCGGTATCAATTATTGATTCAAATTCACGCGGATTTCTGATTTGTTAGTTTCGGGTATCGTATCTTCTCGCTATTTATTATCTTATCCGGAAATAACTAAACTTCGACACGTGGCAATAGATAATCTTATTTTTTTCCGGGAGAGTTGACACGTGGATGGCGGTTGTTGACCAATTTTCACGTGGTTTTTGAAGGGAAGGGGTGAAATTTCAAATCTGGGCCGTAACAAGAGGACGAGTGAAGTTGGACTTTGACTGATCAGGTTTACTGCAATAGAGTTCAGAGTTTCGAGAAACTTCTCGAGTAAAATTAAACAACCTTGATTCGTAATTACCAAAATACCCTCTACTCACAACTTACAAAAGCGAGATTCGGGATTCGCTGCCAGCGAAATGCGGCCGACCCAGGTCCAACTAAAACCAGCCCAAGGTTGCTACGGGCTTGGGGCTGGATCATATTCATACGTTCAGAAATCATCAAATCTATCTATATATATAATTAATGGGTATTATCTTTTGATTTTGAATTATTATGAGGAAAATTTATATTTTAATAAAAAAGTTTTAATTGAAATAATAAAACACTTGAAAAGCATATATGAATAGAAAATTTAAGACACCATCTATCTATACTATTATTAAAAGTATGAAATTTTTATTTGACTAAAATACTCCAAATTTTCAATTGGTCCCTCTCTAATTATAAAGATATAAATGTAATTTGAGTAACCACTTGTCTTTTTATTCAAATTCCTCTCATTAAGTCTTTTGAATTTGGTCTCTCTACTTGTGAGGGCACATATATTCCTTATAAAGGTATCTATCTATCTATCTATCTATCTATCTATATATATATATATATATATATATATATATATATATATTAGACTTGTTCATGGGCCGGGCCGGGCCGGGCTTGGGCCAAGCTTTCACTTGTCACTAAGGGAAATATGCTAGGCCCAAGCTCGACCCGACCCGACCAACGGGCCTATAACTTGGGCCCGAGCCCGGCCCTGATAAAAAGCCCGAAGCCAGACTTAATAAAAAAAAAACAATTTTCCCTATTCAAATTAGAATTAAAAATTCAAATAGTTTCTTTTCCTATTTAAATGAACAATGGGCCTACAAGATGGTTTTTTTCCCTTTCTTTTATATTTTAAAACACAATTTTACATTCTTAAATCAAAAAATTTATTCAAATGGACATAATCACATTACTCGCTTTAAGTCTAATAGGTCGGGCCAGGCCGGGCTCGGACCGGGCTATTTTGACAAAACCCGAGCCTGGCTTGAATTTATTGCGGGCCGGGCTTTTTGGCCCGAATTTAAGCCCGCGGGCCTATAACCACGTTCAAGCCCGTCTGGGGGCCGGGCAGGGCCGGGCCGACCCGTCGGGCCACCCGGCCCATGAAATGGGTATTATTTTTTGGAATTTTTATAGACAGAATTTATCTTTTGATTTTGAATTATTAAAAGTATGAAATTTTTGTTTGACTAAAATACCCCAAAATTTTAATTGGTCCCTCTCTAATTATAAAGATAGAAATGTAATTTGAGTAACCACTTGTCTTTTTATTCAAATCCCTCTCATTAAGTCTTTTGAATTTGGTCTCTCTACTTGTGAGGGCACAAAATGTAATTTAAACTACTACATTTCTCCTCATTCAATTTCCTCTCATTAAGTCTTATATTAGAATATTAGTTCTCATTCTTTCATTGAATCTTATATTAATTAACAATATTAAAGAAAAATAAGTGTGACAAAGAATAATTGCTTTTACTATGATATAAATAAAATACAAACATAATACTAACCGAAAAATGGAGTTGCTTTCCTATTTAGGGGACAATCAACAATTCAACCTTTTAGGTCAAAATGTGTCAATCGTTGATGTCATTGTTAAATAATAATAAAAATTAAAAAAAAATCTAAAAATACATAAGCATATAAAAATAGGGCCATTTACTAAAACGCTCCTTATAGTTTCATTGATTTACTAAAACCTAATTTATAGTTTATGTTTTACTAAAACATACATCCCTTATAGTTTGCAATCAATTTACTTAATCAACCTTCTATTAGATGAAAGTGGAAAATGACAGTTTTAATCCTACCATCCATTCAAATAAATTTAATTAAAAGAAATTTAAAAATAAAAATGCTATTTTTGCCCCTAGTAAGACATGGACAACCACTCTATTTTGCTCCATTTGGTCAATTTGTTTGGTATAAAAAATGTTAAGGGTAATTTTGGAATAAACAACCATGGATCCATGTCCTTGAACATTTTCCATTCATTTTAGGGGTACTTTTCGAATAAACAACCATGGGTTTATGCCTTGGAACATTTTCCACTCTTTCCAGATGGCACGTGGCACTTCATCGTCTGAAGTGTCTATAATATGACTCTACAACCATTTTAGTTAGGCTTTTCAACCAATGGGCAACTTACCATTATCAGATTAGAAATGTGGCAATCCATCGTTCGTAGATCTAAACAACTTTTTACGCAAATGGAATAGCTTTGATGCTTGAGGGCATTTAGGGGAAAATAAAAAAAAACGTTGTTTGAGTCCAAATACTCTCTTCTCTGTGTTTCCTCTGTACACATTCTCAATTAGTATATATGATAGATGAAAGGCCAATTAAGTAAATAGGTTGCAAACTATAAGGGGTGTTTTAGTAAAATAAAAACTATAGGGTAAGTTTAAGTAAATTTGTGCAATTAAAAGGGGTGTTCTAGTAAATGACCCATAAAAATACAAAAAAATAAAAAAAAATCAATCCTAGAAAACATTTTGGTACATCTCTAATATCATATATTCATCATATTAAACAAAAAAGTTTGACAAATAAGAATAATTTTGTTTAAAAATAGGAATATAAAAATTGTAGAAAATATATTATTCACTATCATCATCATCATAAAATTGCCATGTGTACATGCATGCTTACTAGATAATAATGGTAATAATGATCTTGATCTATCATGGGAGCAAATCTTTATTTTAATAAAAAAGCTTTAATTGAGATATTAAACCAAACGAACAACATTTATGTATGAAAAGTTTAAGATCCCATCTATACTACTATTAAAATTGTCAATGAGAGTGGAAATTTTCAACTAAAATATCCAATTTTTAATTTGGTCACTCTCTCATTGTAAGAAAAAAAGTATAATTTGAACAACCACTTTTCTCCTCGTTCAAATCCTTATCTTTAAGTCTTATATTTAAGGTATTAACTCTAAGTAACATTCATTGAATCATATTCTTAACTAGAATACCAAATTTGGTCTCTCCAATTGTAAGGCCAACTATGTTGCATGAAGCAAAGTATTGGGCAATCAAGAAACAACATGTCTATAAAATGAGTGTGGCATAAGCGTGAATGCTAAGATGGATGAGTGGAAAAACTAGAAGAATTGGATTAGGAATGAAATCATCCATAAGAACCTAGGAATAACTCTAGTAGGTGATAAAATGAGAGAGTAGACTAAGATGGTTGGGTCACATGCATAGAAAACCACCAACAACTCCAATTAGAAGAAGTGATTTATTACAACTAAAAGGGGCTAGAAGAGTTAGGGATAGACCAAAATGAAGATGGGTAGAAGTAGTGAAAAATGATTTAAACATTAATAATTTTACAATGAATATTCCTTTAAATAGAATGGACCGGCAAAACAAGATTCATGGAGTTGCCCCATATAGTTGGGATAAGGCATCAACAATGATGATGATGATAATGAAATGGAGTGATTAGTCCATATCCTTTTAAGATTTTTTTGTATGTAATGCAAATCTGAATTAGATACAAATTTTACACTTGATTCAATGATTTTCAATGATTCATCTACTTACCTCATGCAAAATGTGCATTCTTTTGTCAAATTTAGAGTACAAATTTTGCATTCCAAAAATTGTTACAAAATTGTCTCCTACCTTTATTCTCTCTTTTATAAAGTGGGGAGCATGTTATTTTACATTATATTTCACTTCTTTTGAATAAAAAAAGACATTCTTCTTACCATTGCAATTATGAGAAAGTTTCAAAGTATTTGTATTGTAACTTTAAGGTGTACTAGAGGCAATTTTAAGAGATATACTACAAAAATCACTTAAAAAATGAATGCAATGGTCTAGAGGAGTGGCAACCCACAAATGGGTAAGTTGGATTGGGTGCAAGTTAAGTATGCTCCATATTGACCCACCAACGCATTTGCCACCTATATTTATTGGTCTTAGTGCTCACAACCCGTCATCCACCCTAACACATTTTCCTTTTTTTTTAACTTTTTCACCTTATATCTATTTCTTTTTTTGTGACATATAGTTTTTCTTTATTTCGAATGCATAAAAACATAGAAATATATATTTCAAATAAAATACACAAAAATGATAAAAATAAAAAATAATTATTTAAATTAAAAACCCGATAATTGTAGAAAAAACAAAAAATGATAAAATTTTCAAAATAATTATGTCTCAGATAAAAAAATGAAAATTTCAGAAATTAAATAAATTGATAAAATTTTTCAAACAAAACATTTTTAAGCCAAAAATCAGAAATTGCAGAAAAATGCATGATAAAAAATTTCATATTTCAACTAAAAAAAGGAAAAATTGAACAAAACACATAATAAAGATAAAAAATTAAAAAAACATATATATTTCAGCCAAAAATAGAAATTATAGAAAATACATAAAATGATAAAAAGTATATGTTC